GGGAGGGCGTTTGTGGTTTTCATGACGGTTTGTTGGAAACTAGTCATAACTCCAAACATCCAAAAAGGGAACTGGGGAAATCCAATGCGAAGGCAGACCCTGCCTTCCGCTGTCAGGAGATTCGACACGCGGGTTTTCTTTTGGCTCCAGCCACACTTTGCAGGAGGGTGACGAGCAGACTGCTGGAGCTTGACTGGAGCTTTAAGTGGGTTTAATTTAAAGTGGGACGCGTAGAGCCTGTCCCAGTCCCAATCCCTCACCACTCGCATCCTGAGAATTCAAACATGTGCTCCATACAGACCGCCCTGCCGCCTCTGCAATTTGCAGCGCGCATAAATAAGAGACGGCCATGCTAGAAGCGCTGCTTCCGGGTTGATCTTTGGGCTGCGGCACACCAAAGCTTCACGTGCCTGGCGAACCACACGTCATCCCGACCCGCCGGCCTGGCCAAAGACGGTGTCGGCATCCCAATTCCCCTGCTCCTGGACCAAGTTCAGGTAGTTGTCACACCACCTGTGGACAACGAAAAGCCGACTTCAAGCGGGATCGAAGGGCCACAGGACTGACATGCGCAGGCTAGCCACACAAGTTTGTCGTCTGTGAAGTTATGCCTGTTTTTCTTCAGCGCGCTGCTCATGGGCACATTTGTTTGACTCTGGTATCATCTTACGTCCCTGAGTTGCTGCGGTTTGGTGGTGTGGAAGTGAGGCAGAAATGCTCAAACCACCAATCACAACCACCAACAAAGGGTGCCTAATAGTACCCACAGCCCCCAAGGGTTGCCGGCACTCCTGAGGGTAAAGGTTTAGGGTTTAGATTTAGGGTTGAGGTTCAGGGTTCAGGTGTAGGGTGTAAATTTAGGGTTTAGGTTTAGGGTTTAGGTTTAGGGTGTAGGTTTAGGGTTTAGGCTTAGGGTTCAGGTTTAGAGTTGAGGGTTTAGGTTTAGGGTCTTAGGTTTAGGGTTTAGGGTCAAGGTTTAGGTTTAGGGTTCAGGTTGAGGCTCAGGTTTAGGGTGTAGGTTTGTTTAGGAACTAGGAGCCAGCTGCTAGCGCAGGTCTTCGAAGCTCTCAAGAAGTATCGGCTAGCTTTGTCCGAACATCAGCCACCGTCTCTGCCTTTCGACGAGCCAAGCTGCGCTTGTCTGTGTGAGCCTAGTTCGAGAATGTTGTGACGGAGAAGGCAAGTGCTTCGGGCGTCGGGGTGTTGGGGTGTTGCTTTCGGGCGCAGGCAACCCTCAGGGGCTGGCCGTAATGGTATGTTGTGTCAGTTGCTGTAAACAAGAAAGAACACAATGGCCATTAATAACATTCCTTCCCCGAATGATCAAAGGCCCCGCCAATACAAAACATGTTTGCACAGCAACACATTCCGATTATTAGTGGGCGGTTCATGGTAAAAACTAGCTTTGGTTCTACTACAACGTAGTCCAGTCCGGGATGCAATTTTCAAGCAAGGAACTTTGATAGCTCAGACTCCTCTTCTTTTTCTACTTCACCTGGGTGTGGAATCTGTGGCAGTCTGAAAGAAATTGAGTGATTTCCCGGGCCAGCTGGATGTTTCGTGACATGTTGGCAATACAGTTCTGATTCATGGGGGGGGGGGGCCTTGTTATTAGGAAACAGGGATTCTAGCAACTCTTCCAAGTAAGATATTTTCAGCAAACGCAACCCACCCCCCCCCCAAAAAACAAAAAAAAGAAGGAAAGAAAGAAATAAACAAACATGAACAAATACATAAAAAAAAAAACAAAAATCAACAAACACACAAACAAATGAAACAACACATAAACTCAGGTGATATCCTCAACAGCACCACCCTCGCGGAACCTTGCAGAACCCTCGCGGAAGCCTCCCTGAACCCTCCTCAGAAGCGCCCCGCAGAACCCTTGCGGAACCTTGCGGAACCCGCGCGCAAACTCGAGAAACCCGCGGAACCTTATCTCAGAGCCGCCCGGACCACCCCGGAGCCTATCTGGGCTGAGACCTCATCGCTTTCAGCTGTTGAAGGGAACCACCAGCATTGACCCCCACAGCAAAGCACGCGCCAACGATTGCACACCAGCACCTCGAACAGCACTGCCTGAAGAGTCAATCTCGCAAAAACGCGCGCGCCCGCACCAGCCCCCAAAACCACCCGCGCCAGCACCCCAAACTGCATGGCCGCTAGCACCCTGCCTGCCATCAATCGCAAAAGTGCGCCCGCGCAATCTCGTAAAATGCGCCCGCGCCATCGCAAGAGCACCCAAACAACATCCCACAAACAGCACCTGCGCGTGCCCCTTAGCACCCTACCGTCCCAGCACCTCAAACAAGGCCCCAAACAGCACCCCGAAACAGCACCTGCACCAGCACCCAAACTGCACCCTGCCGTCAATCTAGAACAGAAGCGCCCGTACCATCGCCAGCAGCTCAAACAGCACCCCAATCAGCGCCTACAGCAGCACCCCAAACTGCACGCTCGCTAGCACCCAGCCGTCAATCTTGCAAATCACTCTCCCTTCTTTATTAGAAGCTAGAACCCTTCTGCTATCCGGGGGAAAAAACAAACAACAACAAACAGCTTCAAAGCAATCAAGCCCACTTTTCGAGGCAACCAAAGGTTGCTCTCCTCTGAGGGAAAAGCATGAAACATCATGAAACCACAATTCACTATACGCCAACTTGAGTGTCCAGCTTCAGATCGCCCTCCCCCCGCGAACCGCGACCTCAGATCCTGCCGGGAGGGGGGTCATTTTCGAACACCGATTTTGGATCATTTCGAACACCGATGTCCTGGATCATTTTCGAACACAGAGTGGGTCATTTTCGAACACATGGGGGGGGCTATCCTGCGGCACCCGTGGGGTGGGGTGGGGGGTGGGGTGGGGCAGTTACGTTCGCCTCTTACTGCGTGACCGTGCCACTGCGTCCTGGGGCTGGGGGAAGGGGGCAACCAGGAGGCTCCGAGTCCCAAGTTGCCTTGGCTTTCTGAGCTAAGATGTCCTCGGCGACTTGCGCCCGTTGGCCCCCGTAAAACCGTGAAAACGCGGCCTAACGGCCGTAATAACTCACGCGGGAAACTGAAAGGCCGTTACTACTCCATGAAAAAGCCGGCAAAACTTGTGAAATTTCAAGCTCTGAGTTATCTTGTCCTCGCGACACAAATAACATCCTTAGCTCATACGGCCTAAGTAACTTGCGAATCGGAGCCTCCTGGAATTGCGATCGCCGCTTACTGCGTGGCGGCGCAACTGCGTATTGGGGCGGGTGGGGGGGTGGGGTGGGGCAGTTAAAAGCTTCTTGCTGCGTGACCGTGCGACTGCGTCCTGGGGCTGAGGGGGATGGGGCGGGGCAGTTACGTTCGCCTCTTACTGCGTGCCCGTGCAACTGCGCCCTGGGGCTGGGGGAAGGGGGCAACCAGGAGGCTCCGAGTCCCAAGTTACCTTGGCTTTCATGATGATGATGATGATGATGATGATGATGATGATGATGATGATGTTGACGATGTTGTTGATTGGCGATGACTTTGACGATGTCGATGATTATGGTGATGTCGACGTTGATGTTGATAATGGTGATGATGTTTGATGATGATGATGATGACGATGATGATGATGATGATGAAGATGAAGATGTTGGTGGTGATGTTGATGATGGTGATGGTGATGTTGGTGTTGATGTTGATGATGGTGATGTTGTTGGTAGTCATGATGACGATGTTGATGTTGATGTTGATGTTGCTGGTGATGGTGATGGTGATGGTGGTGGTGATGGTGATGGTGATGGTGATGGTGGTGGTGATGGTGATGGTGATGGTGATGGTGATGGTGATGGTGATGATGATGATGATGATGATGATGATGATGATGATGATGATGATGATGATGATGATGATGATGATCGCTTTGCGTTCCTTGTGCTTTGCTTTCCCGGGTCTACAGTTGACGATTGTCTCCCAAAACCACGGCGCCATCCCTGTGCTACACGTGCATCGTGGTGCGTGTTCGTGCGCCTCATCGTGGTGTGCATGGACACTTGGAAAAAATGGCCGTGCTGCTGTAAATCACATACACTTGAGCAAAACCGCGTTCAAAAACGAGCCAAAACACGCGTTCAAAAACGAGCCAAAACACGCGTTCAAAAACGACCACCTTCCCGATCCTGCCTGGGGCTGTGCTTGAACTGCCTCTTCTCCGCCAGCTCCAGCTCTCGCGCCTCATCCTCCTGCTCGATCTCCCCCTGGCGCGCGATGCCGAATGGGCGCGATTCGCCTGGCTGGAGACTCAGCGGAACAAAGTGGATTTCCATGAGAACAACGCCTGGTACCTTTTTTCGCTGAAGCTATGGCGTCTCTGCCCAGCTTTGGGGTGGTTTCGGTGAGGTTCCGGAGGGTTCCACGGGGTTCTCAGGCTTGCGGGGGCTACCTGGGCAATTGATTAACAATTGGTGTTCAAGGGAACACCTCTCCAAACAAGGAAACAAGGGCACCATATTGGGCCAAGTTCTGAAGCATTGGACATGGTTGGAATCACATTCGAAGATGGGGCCCAGTTCTGCGTGTTGCCAAACTGCTAGAACTGGTGGGTCTAAAAGGTTGGTGATGTAGAAAAATATAGAAAGAGGGAAGAGGGAAAGAGAAACAACAAACAATCAATCAATCAATCAATCAATCAATCAATCAATCAAACAAGCAAGCAAGCAAGCAAGCAAGCAAACAACAAAGCAAGCAAGCAAGCAAACGGACAAACAACAAGCAACCGAACAATCAAACAAGCAAGCAAGCAAGCAAGCAAACAAACAAACAAGCAGACAACACACACACACAAAATCAACAAAACATTCAAATGTAGAAGGAACCCATGCAATCAAGCAAAGGAGACAGAGAGCAAGACATAAACAAAGACAGAAATAAACAAACGCAAGAAAGAACCACATGACAGAGTAAAGCAAAACCATAAGAAATAAACACACAATAAAGAAGAAACATAATAAGTGAATGAAGAAATAAACACAAAGGCAGAGGGAGAGAACGAGAGAGAGGAGAGAGAGAGAGAGAGAGAGAAAAAAAAAACAAAACAAAAAACAAGAGAGAGGCAGAGAGAGAGAGGGAGAGAGTGAGACAGAGAAACATAATTTGAACCCCATGCACTTGCATGTCAGTAACATCGTTGACGCAGAAACATCTAGCTCCTTGAGATGCTTAGGTGCTTGGGCCTTTGCTGGAAGCTTTTGCTCCCCAAAAACATCCCAAATCCTCCGTTCCTTAATCATCGGGGCATCTAATTTGAAGGTGCTTGTTTTGGGGGTTGAAAGAAAGCAAAGCGGAAACAAAGCATTTTGAAGTTGCAAACAAAGACATGTTCAAACATTCTGCAAAGAAGCCCAAATGAAATCTATGATCATGTTTTGGCGGCTCCATATGGGCAAAATTACACAGCTGGGGTTACGCAAATTATAGTCTTTCTATTTGCCAGGGTTCCATTTTAGATCGATTCCCATTTTTGAGCTGCGGGTCAAAAAATAGGTACCCAAAATGGAACCCTGGTAAATGGAAACATGGACTAGAACTTGCGGTCCCCTGGTGGTTTAATTTTGACCCATACCCATATCAACCATTTTATCAGACCCGCGTGTCCCACATCGGGTTTCCGCGCCGCTGAGGACATCTCGTAGTTGTCCTCCGCTTTGGGCGGTGGCAGGGGTTTTGTCCTGGCAACGAAGCGGGGGCTGAACATGCGGAGGACGGGTGCGAAACCCATTTCGCGCCACCGCTCAGAAACCCTGGAAAATGATGATTCCTCTGTAAATAGCAACAAACCATGGTTTCAAAGTGGTGCACATCCAACCTCTGACAATTTGGCGAGACTGGGGTCTCCTCCAAAACTATTCGCAAATCTTGAGTGGATTGGCCAACCAGAAGTCCATTAAAGTCCAGGAACTCAGAAGATCATGCGCGAAATCGTGTCTGAACCAACCGTAAAGCAACACACATCAGTCCCAGCCCCGCGCTGACTGAACTCCAGCCCAGCCAGAACCCTGTGGGAAAGCAACCTCAAGACAACTGCGAAAGCCCCCAACTTATCGCGCACATCCCCAAAGACACCAACCAACCAACCAACCCAACCCAACCCAACCCAACCCAACCAACCAACCAACAAGCAAACAAGGCCTGCGATAAAGGTCTGTACCACCCAAGTCATTGCGACCCTATGTCCAGTGAACATGGAGTGCATGTATTTGAGCCCTGTTCAGCGATCAATAAATTACCCACCCATGCCTCATGGGGCCTGGTGGGGAGGGATGGGAGGGGGCAGAGGAGCCCACATGCGCTCTTCTTAAGCCCTTGACAAAGCCTTATTTGAGGCGCATTTGGGCTCCTCCCCCTCCCCTCCCTCCCCCCCATGGCGCCATGAATGCTGCCTGCCTATGTTCTTAGCATTCGCTACAGCTGCAAGCCCCTGTGGCCATCTGCTGAACTGGATCGGTGTCCTCTCGACCCATTGGCTGGGATTTGGTTGACATATTGCTCCGCCTTGAGGAAAGAGCAAGCTTTCCGCAAAGGACAAAAGGATCTGATGAGCAGAGCTCGGATTTCGGCACAGCTGGATGAGTTGAACCTGCTAGGTGGGTGCTTGCAGCGGGGGTTGTGTCGTGGTGTTAATTTTGTGGTAAAATGATCATCCGTTTCTTGCTCATGCTCTCATCCCGAAAGGCAAGCCTGGAAACGACGCAATATGAGGAGCTAATAATCAAGCACATCATTCTCTCTCTTAATTAGCCTCATAGTAATTGCCCCAACTCAATTCCCAGTCAGCCTTTTGTAGTACTCCCCTTACCACCTGTTCATGGTTTGTGTTGGTTGGCTGTTCTGTGGGTGGTTCCCATTTACAACAAAAGCCGCTTCAAACCCCCAGACCAATTCAATCGGAACTACGGACCCGTACCAGACATTTCGGCGCCTCAGGATGTGCCAGAGGTTCGAGGAGATCTTCCTGCCGTCTCATGTATCTTCAAAGCTTTCCACCCCAACCACCGTGGTGTTGAAACTCATTTTTGCCCGGGGGTATGGTTTGAGAGTAGAACATTTGGGTATGAATTTGGTGGACATCATGTCAGCATGTCCAGCAACATTTATCGACTGCCGTACTCGTACACCTAGCCATATGCCTTGGAACAGGCAAACCACGGAACAGGGAAACCACTTTGAATATGGGTATGTTTTGGGGGAAGCACCCTCCCCCTTCTGGCTGGTCAACAGGATACCAACCGTTTTGGGGGCTCCATTTCCTCATCTCAGCCAAACACTGCGAGAGCCACAAGGTCCTTCTGCTGGTTTGGATTCCAGCTGCACCAAGGACTGCAACTGGGCAGTTCCCAGACCCCCTGCTAAAAGTCTGGCTTGATGGAAACTACCACTGAACCCTAAAAACCTAAGTGGACTTCCCATTGAACCTAGCGTCAACCAGCCATAGTGGGGACCCATTTTGAGACACGTCAAACCCGCCTCCGCTCCGGGGAGATGCTCTCGCCTGACAGAGCCCTGACCCACTTGAATCCTCAGACCCGGGAGTAGGAAGGGGTACCGGGCCCTGCCAAACAGCATTGCCAATGAGCTGAAAGGGAATTGCCAACCAGCTGCCGCACTCCAGACAGCTTCGAACAAGGCTTCCCAAAAATGGGTGGTTTAAACACCCACGGTTTGACAATGGTCCAATGGTGCGTGGTGATCTAAACAGCTGGACAAGAGCACGAGACCTAATGATGCTGCCTTCAAAGCCACCAATCCAGACTGCTTAGTAGGTTGATTCCATGGTCCCTTACACTCCCCTTGCATTGGGAAACTCATCTACAGGCCGAATGTTGGAATCACCTAGAAGGGGGCGTCGTTTTGGCTCTTCTTGCAACAAGTACTCCTGTCCAGAGAATGCGAGTCCCTGGTCTTTGTTTACCTTTTGACCCGAAGTGAATTTCCAGGGCTTTTTTTCCCTTCCACGTAGGACGCCTTAAGGGAGGCATCGTTTTTTTCTTCACTCCGGACTCCTGATGGAAACCAAACCCACAGGTTCAAGGCCGAAATGATTGGCTCCAAAAAGCCTAAACCGTTCACTTGGTGCTCCAAAGACTTGTTTGAAGAGACTCGGCCAGTTTCCGAGAAGCAGGCGTCCGGTGGTCATTCCAAATGCTGGATCTGGTGACACAATCTCGCAGTCCAACGTCAAGATCCTGATGGAAGATCGGATACGGACAACACCTGGGGTTCTCTCATCACCTGATCTGCCGCCAAAATGGTCAAGCATGTGAACGACTTTTCGGCATTCTGGCCTGGAGTCTGCGGATACGGGGGTCTCTGAGCAGCATGGCGGCCAGGATAATTTGGACGCTCTATATAGGGCGCAGTATATTTTTGATGGCGCCCTGTACAACTTTTTGAGCACAAGCGCGCGCAGCAACCCCAGCCCCAGATTACGGTGGCTGGAATATCTTCAATATCAACTAATTGTTCATACCCATTCCCGCTGACTCACAAGGCCCTCAACAGAGCCCACTCACGCGCGAAAGGGCCTGGAAAAGACTGAATCTTTTGGGCCAGAAGGGCACGAACGCAAAAAGAACACACCCAAAGGTCCAAGGCAAAAAAACACCGTGGTCAAGCTAAGCATCCACTTCGATGTGTCTCACATGTTGGGCAAATTTCCCCCGTCGGCTCCGAAAGGCTCCCATCAAATTCGGAGAGCTCCGAAACAGCTCCAGCCATCAGCTGGTTTTGATCACAAGCCACTGGCTGAGCTGCCCCTCTCAGCCGAACGAATCGGAGTTGCGAGGCCTCGCCAGTGGCCCACCAGCTCGATGCCCGGAGCCTGCGCAATGCGGGCGCAAAGCTTTGGGCTGCTCGGAGGTATCACTAAGTCCTGGGGACAAAACGACATGGCCAAAGGACAGGGGGAAGGGGGGTGGGGCCATGGCACAGCCTGGGCGTTCAATCTTGTCCCAAAGTTATGAAGCCTAGATGCTAATTGCGGGGGTGATCTCCTTCCATTGGCTAGGCATTGAGCTTGTTCACTCCCTGGTGGGCTTGCATGTAAACCTGTCCGGCCCGCACCCTTTTGAATCCACAACACGACTCTTCAGAAGAGTGAACGAGTAGCCTCACTTGAGAGCCAGAGCGAAAATGACAAGATTCGTAAACGCGCATGTGCTTTTGGTTGCCGATCCACTCAACGACCTAGTATCATTAATATGTGTGTTTAACACACATGTTTACGCAAGGGGCGCTTTTTGGGACCCGTTACATAAAGGGCTTCCTTTTGGACGATGAACTCCGGAACCAACCACAAAGGAGGAACAATAGTAGAAACGTCATGAAAACGGCCGATGCCCAACATGGTCCGGTCATTTACCCGGTCTGGGTGAATTATAATGACTCACAAATCGCAAAAACACAATCCTTTTGAAACGCACTTGCATGCTGAGTGCGGTCGCAAACCCTTTTTGCGAGGTCACTAGAATTTGCACAGAATAATCATGGAACGCCTCAGCACCAGTAGGCCTTGTACATTGGCGAACCTGATATACCCAGAAAAAGCCCTTATGCCGCGGGTGCCTTGTCGCTTGCATCTTCGTCATCCTCTTCCTCCTTCTCCTCCTCCTTCTCCTGCCCAGAGAGCGTCGGGCACAGGAAGAGCTGAATTGTCTTAGCCTGGAACAGTTTGAGTTCACTTCCGTCAGCTTGCAAGTCAATCCACCACAACAGGCTGAAAGAAGGGTTCCTTAAAAGAGGCAAACAACACACAAAACATGGCAAACCCCTCAAAAACCAACCACACACCACGCATCGGCAAGCAAACCAAATACAAACTAGCCCCCTTCAAATGAACATGGAACTCAGGGTGCCATCACTTTTTGGAGAAGTTTCCTTTTGGACCCCCCCTTGTGCGCTCCAGGTGATTTTTTTTCATGCATGGCGAGCAGGGTTTGTCTTCCCGGATTTGAACTCCGGAGCCCGGCGAAGCGAGTCAGAACTCCTTGCCCTTTCAGGATTGCCCCCCCACTCCAAAAAAAAACACGCCTGACAGGGGGTCCCTTCATGTGGAAACTGAGCTTCCAGGTACCCTCGCACAGCTGTTGTGTTCGCGGGAGGGGGGGTACTTCTTTGGAAAACTCAACAGTTGCCTCCCGGAAGCGGCCACGGATCCTTTGGAGGTTTGCCAAACTTCTCCCACAGGGCCTGAACTTGGGACCTGCTTTATTGCGGCATTGCTTGACACAATGACTACCACGGTCCCCAAAGGAGGAGGCGACTTGCCAGCATAATGGGCCAAGAACACACCTCTTTCAAATCTGTCCTCTGCCCTCTCCAATCAACACGAAAGCAGCGCTTGGTTTGGCTTGTTTTCCTTTGGTCTCCCACACCTGCAAGGAGCCACTGCACAAGCGGGCCTTAATCTTGATAATCTTGACATGTGCGGTCCGTGCGGTGCCCTTTTGAAGGCTGCTTTGAACCGAAGGAACACCATTTCAAGCGACTCCCAGATCAGAACTCCAGTGCTTTCCCCGAGAGGAAACCACGGGCATCACGCTGTGGCTTCCTTCTTTTCAATGTAACCTCGAGAAAAAAACAACAAAAACACCAAAAACACCGCGGGACAGGTCTGACCGAAAGAACCGCCTGCTTTCGCTCAGCGCGGAACCCGGCTCTGCGGAGCCCGCCGAATGGGGAAGGATCAGACCCTACCTTTACCCCCCCCCCCCCGTTTTCGGTTGGACAGAGAAAGCTCCAAAGTGTAGAAGACCACTAGGGTGCCCTTCCTTTCCAACATGTCAAATGTCAAACTGGGCCTGGGTTGCAACCAATTGTAGTTGGCCAATTGAAATAAAATGGAACCACCACGAGGAAGACAGGCTTCTCTGGGCAGCTGGGTCACTGGGTTGTTTCGTTGCCATGTCTGAAGTATTGAGGCGGTTGCTAACATGCTGAGAATACAGCAGCCAGTGGGTGTGACGGAAAGCCCCCTGCAACCTACTTCGCCACGCGCAGCTAACAATATGAAAAAACTGATTCACGCCAAGCAAAATGCTTGAAACAGCTTATGAAGACCGCCAGCTCTCAAACAACCCCAAGTTGGCCAACTGCGGGGCTTTGGGCACTCTGCAAGAAGCCAGTTACAGGACATACAGCAAATCCATGTTTTGGGTGGGTATCTGGCCAACTTCCTGTAGAAGCTCCTGTAGCTTTCCATGACAACTGGACTATCGGCTGCAGCACATCAATCTCACCGCCTGCCTTCTGGAACGCTGGCTCTGCCTCTGTCTCCTCTTCCTCCCAAATGTGGAGCTCCCACAACAAACAAAAAACCTGCGCGAGCCTAAGCCGTAACATGATGTCACCAGAGGCCATAGAGGCCTGAAGGGCTTCCAGCTGGCCATTTGCTACTCAGCGGACCCAGAAAAACACCCTTGGATCTATCAAGAATGAACATACCGATGTCCAGCAATGATCAGCCGCCACCCCTCCGCTTTCTAACTGCAACACAACTCGACTGAAACGCCCGTCAGTGATTGCTTTTGCTCGCCCAGCGGCTCTGGGCGAAAATGACAGCCCAACTTTTGTCATAAATCACAAATAAGCCCAATGGCCAATGCCTATCCCCAACATCAGCCCAAAATGATGTTCTGGAATCTCCCAGAAAGCTGGGAACTTTCATGGAACCTTCCCATAGTTCCGGATCTCTGACTCATTTCCCGTCTGGCCTGCAACACGCCTGCAATCCATAATGGATGTGCCCAAAATTGACTTGTGCACTTGGTTGCTCTTGACCCCTCTGCAAAAAGTTTAACTTTTTGTGGGTTCAGTGGAAAACCCGTTGATTTCAACTAAAAAGTTAAAGTCTAGAGATCCAACCCGACAGCAATCAAGTGAAGGCAGCCAACCTGAAAACTGTTGCTTGAGCCCAAGCTGTCACCTCAGTAGGCAAAAGCCCAAAGCTACGCGCGATTGACAAAGCACGACCTGCAAAACAAACGACAAGATCTAGTCTGGTGGTGAAGCAATAGGTCCATCAAGGAATCAAACAACGAAGGCACTAACACTGCGCGACTGAAGAATCCAGAACAGCAAGCTGGACTTACTTCAGGCGCCAAACCTCAAGCAAAGCAATCCGGGCTTGGCAAAACGGCATGGTCACAGCGTGCCCACGATCCACAATCTCCCCCTCCACGCCAACATGCAAAGGGCAACAGGGCGAGAGGCCCATCCAGCCTGTTCCATTGCTGGCGACTCCGCCTCTGGCTGCTCTGCCTGTCTGCGCAAACAGACCCCTAGCTCGAACCATTCTCAGCGTGCAAAAAACACCTCAACCTCCGCAGCAGGCTTGGAATGCCCAACAAACTAGCACTTGAGATTTTCTTGGGTTGTGCAACACACCAATCTGGCCTTCTCAATCACTCTCGCGTTGGCCGTCTCTGCCTGCCAATGGCAAAGTCAAGAGGCTGACCCACTCTGCTTAACTCCAAAGAATATCTCAAAATATCCAACCATCTTCAAAGGCCAAAATGTACGATGTTGTCCGGCGTTTGGGTCAAATCTTGGAGAATGCGCGCCGATGAGTCAACTGTCAACTGCGAGACAACTTCCTCTGTAGCCTTGCGGATCTCACTGGGCTCACGCGATACATCAAGCATGACGCCTTCCAAACCGCAACGCTCCGCTCGTTTTTCCAGGATGATCCTCAGACCTGCTGAGCATATCGACCGACTGTCAAGCATCTCACTCTATTGGACAGGGAGTGGCACAAGATGCGCGCCCGTGCGCCGGCTGGCCTCGATCACTGGCTGCTCTGCCTCCTCTTCCTGTACGCAGACAGATGTGAACATACCTGACTGAGCCGACAATAGTTCAACTTCTTCCTCCTCTTTCGAACATTCTCCAGAAGTCTAGAGGTCGGTTTTGGGATCAAACAGATCAGCGTTCACATCCACACTAGAAAATAATTAGCTACGCAAGCTGTCCATCCTGAAGCAGCTCCTCGAAAGGACCGGCCGGCAAACAGAGGGACTTGCTGTGTGTCTTGAAAGGAAACCCCCGAAATGAGTGGCTTCCTTTTGGACTTTTGTGTAATCAACCCCCATAAAAAGGGCACCCAAGAAAAAGAGCTGACTGAATTGAGTCGCGGATCTTTTCCTCAAAGAAAGCGGGTTCAGTCGCTGGCCTTCTCGATTGCAGTCTCGTTCTCCGCCTCCAACTGCCGGTCCTGCCGTCTCTGGTTGCTTTTCAATCCGAGGGGGTAACCCAAGTTTTCAGCGGGCGCTTCCACGTGTATCTTTGGATATCTTTGGATCACACGCCATGGCCCTGCCAAGCGCAAAGCAAGAGTAGGTTGTGGTTTTTTTTGACTCAGCCACACACCTGCACAGATTTCCGCAGGAAACAGGGGCTGCATCATAGGTGGGTCAGGTTGTCTCAAACACGGTCAGTTCGACGAATTTGTGCTTTATGCGTAGACATGCGTAGACTCACGGCTCGCTTTTCACGTTTGGGCTTTGGGTTTCGTGACAGGTTGGCTTTCTTTTTGGTTTAAGGAAACGGGGATTTGGTCGGGCGGGTTGGTTTCATTCCTGTGGCTCCACAAATCTTACCATCCCGAAGGCCTTACGCCCTTTAATGTGACCTCGGGGCTTCTTGCCACCTGCGGAATTCTAGCAGAAATTCAAAGAGTGTGTGTGTGTGTGCGTGTCTGTGTCTGTGTGTGTGTCTGTGTTGGTGTCTGTTTCTGAGTCTGTGTGTCTCTGTCTGTGTGTGTGTTGGTGTTTGATACCCCGTACCGATGTTTGAAGGCAAACTCATAGACGACAAAAGTTTTGATATCCTTGTTCCCCCTTCAACTGGAGACCAATAGACTGAAAGGATGCCAGTCACCGGACAAACAGGTTTTAGGCCCCCCACGTTTCCGATGACCAATGACGCGATGTTGCTCGCTCCCACTTTTCTCGGGCCCCCTCCCGCTTAAAGTAGGGGGGTATCAATATTTGGGTGTTTGCATGTTTAGCGGACCTCCAAAATGGTGGTGTTCCTTTTGGTACCCCCTGTATAACCACACGCATCATGGTACCAACTCCAAAAAGACACACCCCAGATCTTTTGTAGGACTCCTTGTGGCGGGTTTGGGCCCCCAAGTCCATTGCAATTCCAGGGGTCCACCCCCCCCCCCCTCCCTCAATTCCATTTGCAAGGGGGGGATAGTTTTCGGGTTGGTTGGGTTCCTCCGAGTTTCCCGTCCCCAAGAAATCAACGGGTTCTGCCAGGGCACACCCAGCCACCAGTGTGGATCGCAAACACGCCCACACCCACACACCCCATCACCCCAACCCACCAACCCCCACCCCACACCACACCTCTCAGCGGCCTGGCACTGTGAAAAAAAGAGCTCCAAATGGAGACTAAAACTTGCAGCCCCGAAGAGTTTGCTTTGGCCCCGCGGCCGCTCCGCTTCACGCCGGCGGGCAGGTTGTCAATGGCCGTGGTGTACGGTTGGCCCTGGATCTTCTTGCTCTCGTGCCGTCGGAGCTGCCCCAAGACCTTCTGCGTTTTTTCTCCAGGTCCTTCGCCATGTCCTCTTCCGCCATCTGGCGCCCCACTCGCCCTGATTGCGATTTGGTAGAAGGGCTGCGCGTGCTCCACCTTGCTCCACACCCTTGTGAGGGGTGGGTCTTGCCTTCACTGCCACCCACACCCCCACCACTCACACTCCCACCACCAACTCACCGCCCACACCCACCAACCCCGACCCACCACCCACCCACCACCCGCACCCCAACCCACCACCCACCCACCGCCCACACACCCCACACCCTACCCCACCCCACCACCTACACCCACACCACCCATCCCAACGCACCACCCACATCCCACCACCCACCACCCACCTAAATGGTTGGTGTCCTTTTGGTGTCCCTTTCAAACCAACCAAAAGGGGGTTACACAAACACCCAATTGCACCCCAGTTGCCGCGCCATTTTCAGCAGGCAACCCACCAGAAAACCAGAAGGAACAAAATGGGCATAGGCCAGCTATTGGAACGAGTTCGCCTTCCTTTTAGAAACTTCCATGTTAGATGCCTTTAAAGACATTAAATTGTTCATTAAAACCAGACTCACGCTTTTCCAATGCAAAGCCTACAGGTCAAGACAATTGATCTGCTAGCCAGCGGTGCGAGCTTTTGGAGCGTGGTTTGGAAGAACACCACAACGCGCCTCATCCCCTTTCAAAGCGCAGACTCGCTCTCTCATGGGCTACTCGTCCAAAAACAGGTCCGAAGGCCCTTCTCTTTCTTAAACAGGGCTCAAACCTTTCCAAGCAATAGACTCAAAATCATGTTCCCCTGTAATTGGCGGTTTGGATTGTGGTTTGGGCATTGTGAACAATTGGTTCTTGTGGAAAACAAATCTCCTTAACCACCAAATCACCAATCCAAACCACAAATCAGGGGGAAGCTGAGAAAAAAAGAGAGCCGCCAACCAACAAGGACAAGCCAACGCACCGCCAGCCACCGCCTCGGCGAGATGCGGTTTGACGGTTTGACGCCACTAAGGCCGAGAGGAGTCGCCTTGCATAGATTTGGTGGGTCAAACATAGGTGCTCAACATGGAACCCTGGTAAATGGAAACATGGACTAAAATATGCGGTTCCCTGGTGGTTGAATTCTGACCCATGCCCATTTGCTAAATTTGTATACTGCGGCTTGTAGATTTGTACGTATACGGTTAGATTTCCATAATCACCGTGGTTTAAGCTTGTTGACTCAAATGGTTGGTCCAACATGGTTTGAGCCCTGCTGAAAACAGAGGGGCACTGCCATTGAAACGCGGAGTCTGGCCTGCATAAAGCTATCCCAGCGGGATTCGTCGTCTGGGTCATCCAGAGGACAGGGCAGGTCCATGGTGTCCTGCGCGAGAAGCGCAAGCTTAGCAAGTTTGGGCATGTGGCAAAGTGGTCGCCCTGCTAAGTGGAAACATGGACCAAAACCTGCGTAACCCCTCCGGTTTAATTCTGAGCCACACCCATGTGGCAAAGTGGAGGAAACTGCTTTTGGCAAACCAGTTCCAACGAGCTGAAGCGAGTTCCCTCAAACCACACGCAGCCATTTGTCGATGCCGCTGGCAGGCGTGTAATTCGCGAACCAGAATTCAGGGATCCCACAAGGACGTCCAGCATTGAGGGCCAAAGGTCAATCATTTGCAGGGATACTTAGCAACTCAACAAACTGGCATGACCCTCCTTAACACAAATGCCCAGTGGCCACGGGATACAAAAGGGCATCCTGTTTTGGTTGCTTGACTTTCAAGGGGAACCGGCGCTGGGCATGACCCTCCTTAAAGCTCTTCAAGGATGTCCTTTTGTTCGCTTGAAAGCCCCTGGTCTGCTTGCTTTTGGTGAGATCGGGCACGGCGGTGTCCCGCTGTCTGCGCCCTTTGGCCAACCGTTTCGCTGACAAACTTGCCGGTTCGTTGCATTTCACCACATGCCCAGGGGGCCCGAGCACCTACTCACAAAGTACAAATACAAGTCCATGTCCTGTACATCTTCAGAAGGTACCTTTGTGATGTCATCCAAACTCCGGCGTTCCGATGGAAGCAAATGATGGCATCCATCTCTTGCCAGGCAGCGTATTTAGATATGTTTGATGCCGCGAAGTTGATGATTGGGTGTGTCTCATTTTCCGGGAAACTGTGCAAAACAAATGCGGTTTCCTTTAGAGTTCCGTAAGCAAATCCAAGTTGGAAGTCACAGCTGATCCAATGGGGTGGCAGAAGCCGAACTTGCTCAAGCCATGAAAGCAATGTTTGTCACAGAACTCTCGGGGCAAGTAAGCAGGGATTCCAGTTTCTTGGACGCTTGATTTTGAAGAGAAGCCCACGGACACAAACAACTGAAGTTTGGGGATCTGATCCCAAGCACAGCCCCTTACGCCAGGCCTCAGCTTCGCCCGTCTGAGGATCTTCCGGAATCTCAGCCTGCCAAGCACGCCGGATCCCGGAAAGACACACGCACATGCTCCAAGGGACACCAAAGAGAAGACCAACATTGTCGGGGTGCCCTACTTTGACACTCACTAATGTTGAATGGCTGGCTGGACAAATTACCAAAAGGCTCCCAATCAAACACATAATGGTTCTGTGTTTTGAGGTTGGCTTAAAGGAGCAATCCACCATTTTGGGGTCCTCCGAGCTTGACATATTATACCATTGGGAAGTTTTGCCGGGTTGCCAGCGGCAGGCACGAAGGCTCAAACCAGCGAGGAATCAGTCCAGATCGGCCGCCTAGGGCTGCTTAGTCCAGAACTTGAAAGAGTGAACTCATGCATTGTGCATAAGTTCCAAAGGCCAACCTGTCTCAACATAATAATTATACTAACTAAATCAATATACCTATCTAAATAGATAGTCTTTAAGTAAGGCCTCTGCTGCCTGGACCTACTTTTTTTCGCGTGTCAAATCCCGGACCTGCAGCCATGCGGAGAAAAACAACTTGTGTGTGTGTGTGTGTGTCCGCGTGTGTCCGTGTGTGTGTCCGTGTGTGTGTCCGTGTGTGTGTGTGTCCGTGATGTCCGTGAGTGTGTCCGTGTGTGTCCGTGTGTGTCCGTGTGTGTCCGTGTGTGTCCGTGTGTGTCCGTGTCTGTCCGCGTGTGTCCGCGTGTGTCCGCGTGTGTCCGCGTGTGTCCGCGTGTGTCTGTGTGTGTGTCTGTGTGTGTCTGTGTGTCTGGGTGTCTGGGTGTCTGTGTGTCTGTGTGTCTGTGTGTCTGTGTGTCTCTGTTTGTGTGTGTGTCTGTGTGTGTGTTTCTTTTTTTTGGTGATCCCCTAAAATTGCTGTTTTCCTCTTGGTTTCCCTTCAAAAGCCACAAAGAAGGGACACCGAGCCTCAACAAAAAGCAGCCCCATAGAAAGCTCTGGCCCGGGAACGTGTCCAAAGTCTGGAATCCCCCCCTTCCGCCGCCTCCTGAACGCGAAGCTCAGAGCCAACCTACGCCGCAAACATCTGAACCAACCCCTGCAACTGGCTTCTGTCTAAGGGTTGTTGCAGTACACCCTGGGATTACACCCACTGGGACATGATCCCCATTTAAGCATATTTCCGGAAAAAACCGTGCTATGTCGAGCCATTGTGGGTCATTTCCCAAGGGTGTACTCCAGGGTGTCAACAACCCTTAGATTCAGAAACCCCTTGAAAACCGACCCTGGCCTCACATGGGTCGCCTCTATGGTGGGGTTCCTACTGGCTTCCATCGATCAGGCAACCATAAAGGTTTACCCTGTTGTTTAGGGTTTGGCCCGATATCTCAAGGTTTAGCCTAACTGTTTGAGGCGTGCACTGCCTATTTTCCGGGTTTGACCCTAACACTTCAGAGTGTAAGCCAAGTTCCAAGTTCCCAATAGATGCCGGTTGCCGCCCCTCTATGGGGCGGGGGTCACGGCATGTTGCATCCCCGACGGGGACAAAACACAATAATTTGCACATGTAATAAATTTGGAGGAAAGCTGGTAATTACTGAGTCACACTGGCCAGGCCTCTTCACCACTTGCCAGAAGATGTTCCACGATGTCTGCCTAGCGTGATCGCACCAGCCATCGCCAGTCAGCACGTACAACCTTGAAGAAACGCACATTGCTGGAGCAAGGCGTTTTTCTTTTCTCTCTGGTCTTTTTAATTGCCTGAGCCGGAACCGCCATTCAAGCCATCAAGGGGTTCGCCATGATCATGCTGAGAGCAAACGTAGACGTTGTTAATTCAAACTCTATCCTTCAAGATTGCGCAACTGGAGATGGCCCCCAACATAAGCTTTAAAAGGCGCCTGCGCCTGGAAATGTTCTGAACAGCCAAGTTTGAATAGTCATCGTAATAGAAAAACTCGATAATGCTGAGGATGTTGTTCAAGGATGCCAGTTCAATAACTGAGTTAGCATTTTTTTGGACAGAACATGGTGCCTGTATCAAACGTGTGGCACACAAACTGCTAAAACAAAACAATTACGTGCCCAATAATGCGGTTTGCCTTTTTGGCTTCCCAAAAATACAAACCTCAAAGGGTGCTCTCAAACAAGCACCCGAATGCCCCGCTTGAATGCCTTTCTGCGAGGAGCTTTGTTGACCATCAGGGGTTGTCTCAAAACCGGGGAACTCCCCAAAAAACGGTTTCCTGCTGGTTTTCTGTTTCAAGCCAATCAAACACGGGTACCCGCTCAAATTAACCCTACAAAACCCCTTGAGGAACCTCGATTCGGGTCGCAGAGGGTGGATGGCCAGCGCCCGACTTTCCGTTCACATGTCCAGGTTTCTCAAACACATTGTGACATGATTTCGCTGCTAAGTTCCTGGTTCGCCAGAGGCATTCCAAAACAACATAGAACAGGTGTCGTCTCAGCGGCGTAGAGCCCTGCGCGGGCGTGTGGGCTTTTTGAAAGACCGGCTGGACCCTTCAATAAAACACAAACACGAGCGGCGACATCGAAAAGAACAGCACGATCTCGCTGGCACCCTGCAAGAGCGGCATGGGCACATTAGCAGCTTGCAACCCATAGATACAGTTGAGCATTGTTTTTTTTAGAGGTTCAGGGCTTATACACTGCTGGGGAGGCTACGCGGGGGGCTTCGCGGGGCCAGAATTTGTGGAAGGGTTGGCTTCGCGAGGCTTCGCGGCAAGACTGTGGCTTCGCGGAGTGGCCTCGCCGGGCTTTGTGGATGTTTGTTCCACAAACATCTCTCACATTTGCGCCCCCATGTTGTTGAATCAAGTTGAGTCCATGCGAAAGGGTTCGATGAAAGGCGGCAAGAGAGGCATTGAGCTTCAGGACTAGGGGACATGGCTGGGCCTCAAAGGGGCGGAGCATGGAAGTTGGACCGCGGTGGCTTCGCGGAGGCTTCGCGGGGGCTTCGCGGGGGCTTCGCAGAGGCTTCGCGAAAACGTTCCATCGTTTCTAGCAAAACCGAGCCTGAAACGCACAGTGCTCTTCCGGTCGTCTTCCCGTAATCTTCCTGTAATCTTGTCGTAGCCTGCTGACTCTAAACATCAACCTTTGGAATACTACTGCCATGAAAGCGCACAACACAATTGCCATGAAAGCACGCAATACGCTCAAACGACGAAGTGGCTTCGCGAAGTGGCTTCGCCTGTGTCAATGTTACCGGGCTACGCGAAGTGGCTTCGCGGGGCTTCGCGGTACACAATGTATCGCACAAGTGCCTTCGCGGAGCTTTTTGGAGTTCCCCACGAAGCTAAAATCCATCATCTGAGAAAAAAACGCTGCTCAGTTGAGACCGTACTGCAGTCCAATAGTTTCCTCTCATCGCACCCCCCGCAGTATTCGCTGTTCAGCATTCCTGGGAACCCCCCCCAATACTACATGACCTTTGTGTGAATGTGAGGACGTACGTTGACCCCGTTTCAGGCGTCTTGGGTACATCAGAAGAGTCGTAATCAAGACCGATGGGATGAACATGGTCTATTCAACACTATGTAAAGAATCAAAAACGCGTCCGAACCCATTTGTGGCAAGGGGACTGTCCCTTAACCTTTCATCTACCCGGGTCTTGATTGGTTCAGAACCTATATCTCCACTGGCCTCGCTGACCTCTTGGGCCTCGGAACTGTCCTGGGCCGCGTGTTTCTGATCGGGTGTCAGGGTCTTTTGATGTCTTTGATTCTGGTTGGTAGATGAGAGGGTTCGGAAAGATACATGTATATATATATATATACATATATATATATCTCTTTGTACAATATATGCATACATATATATATATATATATAACATAATACTATACGTAACATGCATTCATATCCATCTGTGATCTCCTTCCGTCGAGAACATCATGCATGGGTGAAACATGCAAGGGTTGACCTTCGATCTCAATATCCATGCAGAAACCAACACCTTGCTAACATCAGGATGTTTGTGGCACGGCCGGTCTCTTGTGGAACCAGTAACTCACTTTTTGCCATACTTTTAATTACCACTAAAATGGCCTTGCGAAAAAAAAATAAATAATACAAAGTTTTGGAACTTAGGAAGTGAGAGAAACACCAACTGCTGTGGCTGACAAACTTCAACAGGCGTGTTTGCGCTGAGCACAACATTTCCCAGAATCTTCGCTGCTCAAGGGACGAACATAAGCTGTCATGACAATTGCCCTTCCCACAAACATAGAGTCTCTTGGAAGGGTCCTGGAAGATACATTTCCTCTCGAAGAGCAACCCTGTCAGTTGAATGCAAACATCAAACAAAGTCTCAAGTGCTTTGGCATCAACACCAAAGCCTTACCACAAATGGAGTAGATGAATATCAAACAAACCAACTCCAGCTGAGCAGAAGTCCAGTGTTACGAACAAAATATCATTGTGTACGAGTGATGAAAATAAGATGCTATATGCTCCTAAGATGACATATGTTGTAAATATGAAATCTACAAGCCCTTAGCTTTGAAGCGCGTGGCGCGTGGAGTTTTTCCGTACGCGACCACATGTGGAGGTTTTGCTGCCGCCGCCAGCCTACGCAACCTTACGCTTGTGGAGATTTGGCTTGCGCACAGGTCGATATGACACGACTCTTGCTAAACATGTCAGTGTACACGGAGGTTTTGGTTGCAGCTCAAGTGCAGCCTGTCCGCTAAAATCCAACTCCCCAACACCTGGCCTCATCGCCCCTGTGCTCAGCAGGACGGTCAACGATTTCTGCCTGGCGAGTACATGACGCTTGAAAGCCTCTGGCATATTTTGTTGGGGAAGGCGGTTTCTTTATATCAAAGTGGGCGCTAAGCGGCAGTTGAATGCTCGACCCGGGATGATCAGTTCGACCGTGAGGAAATGGCAAGTCAAATCATAAATCCATCTTACTTGCTCAACTCAATCCACACCTTTGCCAATAGGTGTGTCCCAAATTCCCCCCCCTCTCACAGTGCTCCAAATCATCCCAAATTCCTGAAACACAACTTACACAGCTTTCATTCGCAGAACAGGCCCCATACTCCCATCTGGTTCCTTCTCTTCTCGACGTTCAGCGGCCTCGCTGACGCAGTGGGCCTCCTCAGAGCTTTCCGCCTAACGTGCAATGGTCTGCAAAACGTGATGAAACACGATCCACGCTTCATGGAACGCTGTCGAAGCGCTTCATGCCATGCAAACCAAGTTGAACCTCTGTGACGAAGCCCAACCTCAATTAGTTCCAGGGTCTCTTGTTTGAGCTTCAGGGTCGCAGGCCATCAAACGTATTGTTTGCAGTCAACGCGGCTGAAAGCCATGAGGCGGCCCGGTGGTACCGGCATTGGACTAGCATTGTTTATCTGGCCTGATTCACAGCTTCCTGGTCATATCCTACCAGCTAACTCCCGCAGGAAAGCAAAATATGTTTCGCTAACCATTTGGCTGAACACTGTTACTGCTGAATCTCATTTGATTCTCATAACGCATGTGACATGTACCATCCATGTGTATCACACTGTTTGTTGAGCTAAAGGCAAACATTTAAGCTTGGCAACATAACAACTGCAGCCTGCCTTCTGGAAAACCAACTCAACAACGCCTGGCCTCATTGTCGGCCCTGTGCTCAACATGGTTAGCGATCTCTGCCTGGCGACATGGCGCTCGAAAGCCTTCCGCCTCTGACAGTACCCCAAAATCACACCAACGCCTAAACCTTTACTCTCACTCATTTGAAGCCCCCACAGGCCCTGACATCTGTTGCCTCATTTCGACAGTACCCTCAGCGGCCTCGCTGACGCAGTGGGCCTCCTCAGAGCTTTCCGCCTCACGCTCCGTGAGCCGCGGTGGCACGCGCGCAAGGCTCTGCAACACATCAAGCAACGATCCACGCTTCATGGAACGCTGTCGAAGCGCTTGCCATGCACACAGCCGGAAATTCCAAAGTCGCCTGTTTGAGCTGGGTGGTGGGCACCGAAGCGATAGCAAGGCAAAAAGCAACGAGGCCCGGCTTGGTTTGTGTGTGGCTTCTCCCATGCTTTGGACTCAGAGCCTCAGAACTGGCCTGATTGCTAGGAGGTAGTCATATTCTCCAGAAACAACTGCCAAAGAAAGGGCAAACCACGTTTAGTGAATGTTTGTTTCAATGATGTAGCCATGCACGTTTGCTGACTGCATCTCATTCAATACTCATGATCAAAGTTGCAAGATTCTCAGCAATCCAACGCACCTGGCCTCATTGTCGGCCCTCAGCTTTGCAGGATGGTCAACGATCTCTGCCTGGCAAGCACATCGCGCTGGAAGGCCTGTGGCGTATCCCGTGAGGCAACAACTTGAAGTGGGCGGTAGGCAGCAAATGAACATTCGCCCATGATCAGTTCGGCCCCGGAAACGGCCGAATCATATTCTGATAAGTTGGGTGTGGCTCAAAATTAAACAGGAGGGGCAAACCGCAGGTTTTGGTCCATGTTTCCACTTACCGGGGCAACCCATTTTGGAATTCCGGTTTTTTGAGCCACAGCCAGTTCCTCCTTTTGCGACTCTTCTCGTGCCTTTGCCAACAAAGTCGCGATCCCAGGACAGGTTCCATGTCAAGATCCCTCGAACCAAACCAATGGCGTTTCAACCAGTTCACAGCTTTGTTCTCTCTGGCATACGTGTGTGCCATGTACAAAGCTTGACTGCCACTTTTGGCAACCCAAAACTGTGCAATGGAATGGCGGGACAAAAACAAGCGGAGCCAAATGGCCATGAATGTTGCTAGGGAGCCACCTCAAAAGTGCCTGGTGCACATGAATCACCGCTGAAATGATGCCCGCCAAAGGGTTCCAAATCAAAATTCATATCCAAACCGCTCATAACTCGATTCGTGGCTTGCCAGCGCATCGGACCTAGGCTCCTCTCGTTTCTTTGTCCTTTGACTCGGAGAACGAAAACCCCACTTGCGCTGTCACATATTGTTGACAGCCCATATTAATCAACCCCAGTTTGTTAACGGGGGGTGTCCCTTGCTTGAGTGGGGACTCAGACCACTTTTGGAGGGGCCCCCACTCCCAAATTAACAAACTGGGGTTGATTTAGATATGGGGTCAACATGACTCAAATGCATATGTAAAAAGGCACTTTCCAAGAGGAAAATAGTCTTTCTACAGGGGTCTGTGCACTTCCATGTTAGCTGGTGGGAGGGTAACTCATTCAGGAAGTTCTTTTTCGGAATCCCCGTGCCAAGGCCTCGTGCACAAAGGCGAACTCAGAGCATTCCAACGCCTTCGCTGCGAGATGGAAGAGAATCACCACTCAGTTACCAACAGTTGCAGGCGCTTCCGCCGCTCCCCGGCCCTACTGCTAGTGCGGCACCTCCCCAGCCGGCTCACTAAGGTCTGCCAGCCAGGGAGACATGTCCGTGGCAAACGGAAACAAAAGGGACCCACACAGATTTCCTCCGGGTTTGATGATCGGCTCGAAGCGATCCTGAAGCTTTGTAAGTTAGAGCAAGCAGCAAAATGGGTGCGCCTTGTTTTGAGGGTGCCCCGTTTTGGGTGGTTTTCTAGGGAAACCAAAAGCAAGACCGCATTCTTTTGGGGCTTCGGATTTTGACACATACCGAAAGGATGGAAAAAGACGGGCCAAACTTATGTACCAGTGGATCCCATGGATATCACCCAACAATGACAATGGCTGAGGCAGGTTTCCCTGGGCATACCTTCCGGCCTGCACAAAATCACTCCAAAGGCAAACATCAACCAAACTTGCGGTGTTACAACCCAAGGAACACATGATTTGCCCAGCCAAAGCCTTCTTGAGCTGCCCTTTTGAACGCCCTCTTTTTGAGCAAAGGCTTAGAATGAGCCCCGGCGAAGCTTCGTCTTGCTTTCATAGCTGCCAGGAAGCCTTTGCAAGACCTTGGACAAGGACAAAACAATACCATGTTGATAAGGATGACCCCATATTAGTCAACCCCAGCTTATTACTAGGGGGTGTTCCGACCCAAAGTTGGTCTGATTCCCCACTAAAGCCGGGGACATCCCCCATTAACAATCAGGGGTTGATTCATGATATGGGGTCAACATTAGTGAGTCCGACCAAAGCTGACAACAACAAATCCAGGGACTGTGAGGGAAGCCTTGGGCGCAAGCAAAGCGCCTGGAAGCTGTCGGGTGAAATCTGGGCCCTCGGAAGGTCCTGGAAAAGTGAGGCTTTTACACCCCAAAAGCGGCAGGCCAAAGTTGCCTTCACAAGTCTTCGGCCCTTGGGAAAAAGCGGAGATTGGGTCAGAAGGATTCGACTCGGACCAATTCCAGCTGGAACCCCTTTCTTGGCGTTTGGTTCCCCCCCCCAAAACCTTCCCCGAAGACCTTGCAGCCAATGCCCGCTTTGCTTTCTCTGAAAACACCATATTTCCATAAGGTTGACTCCCCGTTGCTTTCCGTGGCTTGCCAAAAAGAAGGATCCTTGCAAATGCGGAAGTTGTCGGACAGTTCAAGACCATTTCACCCCAAAACCGACTGACAAAGCCAAAACCCCCAAACACAGAAGTCCCACAATTTCCTTGCCACTAGCTTAGTATACCCACAAGTCAAAGCATTGGCTTTGGCTCAAACAGTCACACAGACGTCGCCCTCTCTCGCCTTGTCCTCATGCGCCGCCGCCTCCAGCGCCTGCAATGGCTGCGAGATTTTTGGCTTCCCGCGGCTTCTTCACATCTGCAGAATTGGCATATTGGCAGATGTGCCAAGCGCCAAGCTCTTACAGCTGGCTGAATTCAATCAAACACGCAAAGGGGAACAACGCTGCCACTGGCCAAATGGGGGCCGGTACAAGGTGTTGCTCGACCTTGCCAGCAGCTGGAATCCGTCCCTGCAACCGGCCCTTGGAGCGCAATTGCGCGAGGCTATTTCCCATGGAAAATCAGTTGGAGCAGTTGTTAAAAAGGAGCCGTGACAGGGGTGTGGCGCTTTTTGATTGGTTGGGTTCCCGCTTCTTTGCAAGAAAACAACACAGCTGATTCTACGATCCCACCTGGACCTCTTTGAAAACTGTCGACCCCTGGGATTCCGCAGCCCCGAAGGATTGGCTACGACGCACTTGCAACCAGTGACCCAGAAGGTAGAAACACGCACACAAAGTTTGTCCCCAGAGGAAAATCGTGCTAGATCTTCGGGGCCCTCCTGAAAGCTGCCCCGAACCACAGGGCGGGCAAAGATCCGGCAGCTGCCAGCTGTTGGGGAAAAGTAGATTTCGAGGAATCATTCCGTCATTGCGCAGCCCCCCGAGCGACTCCCTTTGGGCAGCCCCACGCAGGAGGAGGAGGCCTTGGAGAGTTCCTCAGCGGTGGATGGACGAAATCCTGCGCCAGTTGGGATGGATGAAGCATCCACTGCATGGCTTGTGGACCAGCCAAATCCCGGCCAAATGGGTGCCGCGAGGAACGCGTGTTAAGTTGTCTTTGAAGGAAAAGCAGCTGCAGCTGAGGACTATGTGTTTTTTTAAGGGCCGACTCACACAGAGGCACAGATCCAAAGTCCGATCTTAGTGTTCAAAAGATCAGAACTCACAAAGATGTTCGGAAGTTTCCCCGATCATCTAGTTTGGGATGTTTGCTATGCATCCAAACGAGCCAACATAAACGTAATGCTTGGGAAACCTATGGGCATCTGACCACAAAGCGAGCAACATGCTTTGTGGCAGTCCTTCAAATGCACCTGTGAGCAATGGACAAAACTGAAAGCCCCATGCAAGAGTAGGATTCATGTTGAGTTCTGAAGAAACAACTGCCTGATTTCGACACAACACTGGCTGATCACAATACTTCCCCAGCTGTCTACCTTATAGAACCACGTTGAGCTCCAACCGCCTCGCAAACAGAACACACAAACAAACCCAGCACAACCGCCAATCAATGACGCATCGCCGCAGAAACTACGAGACTTCATGCACTGAGTGCTCGACCCCTTCTGAGCCTGTCCACAAGGAAGGTTCCTTCTCCTGCGTGACGTTGGGCGGTCCACTGGAAGAATAAGGTACAGCATGGCACAAGCAGCTGTTTGATGACACAACGTACGCTTGGAAACGCTGACCTTTGGATGAACTCGGATGAGCAAACTGATTACAGCTCCTTTCAAAATGGATCAACTCCCCAACAGACAATGCACCAGCCCAAATGAATCTTGAGGGCTTCCCAATGCGAAGCGGGCATGACAACTTGATCTTGGCTTGGCAAAGTTGTCGATTCCCATTGCCAACATGACAAGCACAGCTAGACTCCAGTTTGGTACTTACGTCTTACACTGCCTTTTGCAGACCAGGCAAGATAGATGTCGCAACCCGAGCCTTCACCCAGCGACATAACAACGATTTCCCAGCCCTCGACTTGAACACAGCCGTGGTCCAGGATACAGTATCTCTTGAGCTTGTGAATTGGCAAATCTCACGTGAAAACATCGCCCCTCGTTCCCTTCAAACGTCGCACCGGCCCAGAGCCAACCCGCTAAAAGGTGGTGTCCACAACGTCGCCAAGAGGGTCCAGCCAGTCGGGCCAGTCCTTACCCTCAGCGCTTGCCTTGGATAGGCCGCCAGGAAGACTCTTGAAGCCAAACAGTCTGCCAAAATGCGGGACTTTTAGTGCTACATCGGGATCACTTTATTTTCCTGTGATTCGGGCACGAGCCTGTGCCCAGGCAATGGGTAAGTTGGGGTAAACAAGCCACAAAAGAAAGGTTCCCCAAAACCAAACCAATCCCCGGTCCCAAAGATCAGGGTTTCCCACGCACCAGAGAACAACAACCAAAAGGAAACAAACCAAACAAGAAAAGGGTTAACCCGCAACCTTGGTCGACAACAGGCCGCGCGACTGGTCCCTACCAACCTGGCGGCGGCCCGAGGTCTCTTTCTCCCCCGAGATGCCGTCGGTCGACGCAGGGGTTCGGCGACGCCCATTCGAGGCGCGACGGAACCCAAAACTTGAGCCAAAACACCACAGGTCGGTCACTAACGCGACGTCCCTGATGATGATATGAACCATGGCTAATCACACCCCCCTCACGAGGAGCCCGTCATATGACGGGTGGAGCGTGCCATTTACTGATAGGATTTAACTGCTCGCATGCGTCCGCAAACAGCTGGACACTACCGCCGTCAGCGGTGGAGCAAACCCACAAAGGCAGTCGCGCGACATCCCGGGCATTAAATTCCCGCCACCACCCCGAATTAATCGGGGTAACGCTGTCCAACATACCTTGTGGAAAAGTCCACGTGACGACATTAGGTCACAACTGTTTGCATCAACAATGCAAGAAGTTTAATTCTTATCAGAAGCCATGAAAAAGAACATAACGTATGTTCACTAGTACCCTCGCCTAACGGCAAGAGGTACTTCCGACCATGCGTACCTGAAAAATGCTTGAATTCCGCAAGCCCGGGAGTAACCCCCCATCAGTTTGCTTTCCCTCTCACTCACACTGCTTCCCGAGGAACACGTCCAGCAGCCCAGCAGCGGTACAGGAGAGACATGATCTCCACGCCTCAGCGGTCCGGGAGGGACATCACCACCTCCGCACCGCGCCGACCATTGGAGAATGGACGCAAGCCTATCGGCCGCAATCCTCGTGACTCAGCCTACCGGCTATCGTCACGTCTCCTCCGGTCACGTCCGCCCCGCGCACGGTCTCTGTCACGATCCCTCTCGGATCTCCTGCGATCATCTCGCCTTCGATCTCGCTCCCGATCGAGTGAATCATCATCACGACGATCACGAGCATCGTCCCTCCTCCGGTCTCGATCATCCTCGCGCCGCGGACGGTATCTGCGCCTCCTCGACTCTCTGGAATCCCTGGTGTCCACGGTCCTAACGGACCTCCGAGAAGGAGTACGGGAAACATCCGATTCCCTACGCCTCCTCCCAGAGCGAGAGTTCGTCACGATCTGGTTGAGAGCCTCCAGTGCTGACGCGTCCTCACCATTTCTGATGAAGTCCCTAACTTGCTTGTTCAGCACTCTGTTGGTGGAGATCGACAAGAAAGCGTCCACCACCGAACCCTCAGGCAACACCAGGAAGTGACCCTCCACTGGGCTCGCCGCAGTCCGCTCAGCAGACTGCAACCGGATCTCCCCGCCTTCAGGCTTCTTTGCCATCGCCTTGGAGGCCGTCAAAGGTGCTACCGCATCCTTTGCCGAAGATCTGCCAAGCGCGGAGTGAAGATCGTCCCCACTAGCCTCCCTTGCGGCCGCACCTGGTCTGCTGTCAACGTCATCAGGCCTCGTCGATGCCTCTCGCTTCGTCGACTCCTTCACAGTCTCGTCAGGATCCCAACGGGACTTCCTTTCTCTCTTCCGCCCTTCGGCCGACCCCCGACTACCGCCAGGAGCGTCGTCTCCGCCTACCTTCTCCTTCTTGACCTCAACCCTCGGTTCGGCCTGCTTCGTCTCCTTAGCCTCAGCCTTCGGAGCCGGAGCATTCTTCGCCTCAGACACAGAAGCGGCCTTCCCTTTTGGCTCGGCCTTTGGAACCGGGTTCATTTTAGCCTTTGCACTCGGCCGGGCCCCTTCAACCGCTATCGCGACCCAAGTCTTCTTTGGCTGAGCCGCTGCTGCATCAACCTCCATCGGTGCTGGTCCAGCATCATCCTTTGCTTTTCCCTTTGGGACAGATGGGCTACCGCCCTTCCCAGATCCTTTACCTGGCACTTCACCCGACTTCGGTGGTGGGCCGGAAGGACTACCGCCCTTACCGCCCTTTTCTCCCTTCTTCCCTTTTCCTTTTCCGCCCTTGGTGACCGGCTCCTGCTTGGGACCAGGACCCGGCGCAGCATGATGCACCGATTGAAGTCCTTCAATATCCACGTCCAATGGCTCCGGTTGACGACCATCAAGGACCGTCCTTACCCTTTCGTCACTAACGTAGACGAATGGGTCACGGAAGGGAGCTGGAGGCTCCAACTGCCCGGCACTGATTGCCTTCTGCACCTTGGCTATCGCCTCCTTCAATCTCTTCTTCTCATCGTACCCTGCCGCCGACACCATGTACCCCCTGAGCTGCGATATCAACGCATGACTTTCCAGGATGTCCACGTCCTTCCGATGGGTCGGATACAATGGGGTCAGATGACCAGCCGCGGAGCCAATCACGTATGCCATCGGAATATAGAAAGACAAGTACGTGTCATGGCGAGCGAACTTCCTAACGGAAGTCGTCATACGCCTACCCCACTGAGCAGCATGCCTCGGGTTAGCCCGGAAGTACTCCGTGACCGACTCAAATCTATCGACTTGGTTGGTCAAAATCAGGTGCTTCGCTACCCACTTCTCCACGAACGCATCTGAGGCCGAAATCCCCGACACATAGGAGAATTGGAAGAGCACCTTCGCCAGCTCATCCCACGCCGCGTCGACTCCTCCCTTATCTTCACCAAGATAAGGAGGCAGTCTGATGCCGCTCTGCACCGTCATCCTCAGGTCGGATGCCATGGAATAGGAAATCAGGTTCCTTTTGATGACTCCGACCACTTCGGAGGGAATCCTCTTGGGCTTGAACTGTCCCATGGTCCTCACCCACTCCGGGACGATGTGGCACCTCTCGAAGTCTTTTTCTTCCGCGTTGGGGATAAAGTTCGGGTAGAAGACCGAGAGCGCACACCCAGGACACAAATGCATCCCATTTGGCGTCATCTCCGCACACCTCAAACAGAACGTGGTGGTCACATTCAACCTGACCTCCTCACGTGACCGCCTGCTCTCCCCTAACGGGGGTGAAGTCACCATAATCCCACGCCCGATGGTACACTATCGTGTAATCATCGTACATGTATGCTGCCTTCCAAGCTCCCATGTGGATCTCGTTCCGAACGGCGAGGGTCTTCCTTCGTGTCAAAAACACGGGCCCAACCAAGGACCAGTGCACCCGAAGGTCCACCATTACCACCACGTACCTACCCGAGTAGTTCCGCAGCCTGTCTCTGACGTACCACGAAGGCGATACCTCGGCATCCGGCGCCATGGCTCCCACAAGTGGGATCAGGCCCTCATCCTGCCTACCATCTCCAATGGTCTCGTACACGTCGGGCCTCGTGATCAATATCTCGATCATGGCCTTTCCGTTTCGCCTCACCCTTTGGAGCTGAACCGCCTTCCTAAAGTCCGAGAACTTCATGACGACGTACCCCACCATGGGGAGTTCATTCCAATGCATCTCGTACATCAGAGATCCGCCAGGTGCATCTTCTTGAGTGTACCTTTGCCTAACGGCACTGTAACTCATGTCACGTCCGATCCGCGTGTGCCTAACGGCCACTAACCTAGTGCTCTCCTTGAGGAGGACACCATTCCCGTCGTACATGACCATGAGCATCGCCTCAACTTGCCCTATCGGGAAAGCTTTGAGCGTCGGAATGAAGAACTTCCACGACATCTCGGCGTTCTCCATGCCCGAGATCTCCTTCAGAAACCAGATGGCCTGGTCACTTTTCACCCAGTTTCCAGCCTCACGCCCGGTCTCCTTCAGCACACGTTCCTCGAATAACTCCGAGACTCTCTTCGAGTTGATGACCAAACCCTCGAAATCGCACGAGAGCAGTCTCATCAACTCCTTAGCCGCCTCCCGCCCTGCAACGGTGCCCGCGGTCTCCTCGTAGTTCGGGAGGTAGTCGCCCAACCTTGTTTTCGAGGGAACCACAATCTGGCATGTAGCGGCCTCATCAGGGATAACCCCAGTTTCCCTCAACTCTGGATTGATTTCCCGCCTATCGGCAAGATAATCCTTCCTCCCATCCAGGACCACAAGATTGTAGGTCATCTTGCTCGCCGCCTCACTAGGTCTGAACCTCCTGCTATCATCCAGCTGATCAGGAGCAAAGGGTCCACTGGGGGCAGCTGCACTTACCATAGGCGCTCCTCGCCCAGAGCATAGGTGCTTCTTGTGGAAGTTCACCATCTGGTTCAGCTGCGACAGGGCATAGGCTCGATCTTCCAACGATGCACTCTTCATCCCGGCCTCAGTCAGAGGAGCCTCAGGCTTGTCATAACTCGCCTTTCCGCCCCATCTCGCCGCGACTAGCTCAGCAGACTTCGCAGGGTCGATCAGATTGCCCGACCATTCAGGCATGTTGCTCAACCTCCTAGTCAACGCGTCTACCGACGCAGCCAAGTCTTCATCCGTCACGGTGTAAGGGTCGACCTTCTCCCTGTCTTCTTGACCCACGTCCGGAAGCCTATAGTCCCCGCGGATGGCCTCCATTGCGGCCCTCTCGGCTTCCTCAGCCTCCTTCTGCGTGGCCACTGCTCTCGGAATCAAGAGCGCAACCTCGGCTGGCAACGACTTCTCCATGTCTATCGGAGTGTTCTTGGGAAGGATCCTTCGATCATCTCCCTCCCCGCTGTACTCATAGTCCGGAGCAGTCTTCCGGTACTCCTCGAAGGTGGCCCCTTTGAAGTTGGTGATCTCACTCGGGTCTGCCTTCCCAGCCTCAGTACCCCGAGGCGTGGGCTCCTTCGCCCCGGCGGAATCCTTCTTGGAGCCTTCCTGATCCACGTCCATGTCGTCCTTCTTCTTTTCCGTCACGGACAGTT